CTTCCCCCAACCCCCCTTACCTTGAACTCCCCCGGGGCCCAGTTCTTTTCTCTCTTCTTGAGGAAAAAAGGAAACAGAAGACATCGGTGCTAGTAAAGGGGTGGTGACAAGCAGACATTAGGGGTTTATTGAGCACTTAGATTTTAATTGGATTTTTTCATTTGTGATGTCATTCATCACGGCCACTGTAAAGGCAGAAGTTAAACAACAACAAATAAAAGGTTGTAGGCTGCTGGAGGCATGTTCTTACTAATTTCAGTTGAATGTGGCTGTTCCATTAAGCTTAATCATCTGGTTCACTTTTAACGATTCACCATCAAGTAAAAATTATCCGCTTCCCTCAGAAAGGCACATCTCATCTGACGCTGGCGGGACTTTTACTACATACCTGTGGCATTTGGTTTTAGAAAGAGCTCCTGGTCTTATTTGTTTTTCGGTTGATTTATTATTATTATTTTTTAAGTACATCACCTTGACAAATTTGGGTTGTGGACTTGGTCCCAGGAGAGTATCACCAAAGCAAATCTTAGTGTCCCCCATCCCCTTTCTCACTTGATTTTAAAATAATTCCATGTATCAAGAATATATGTTCCTAAAGTTGCCAGATAATTTAGCAATTATTACCAAACATTAGGCACAAGGTCCAATCTGAGCAATATGAGGGAGGAATACAACTTATTGTCTCAGTTCTTAAATAAATTTCTTTAATAACCAATGAAACCTCAATACAATTATGTCACTTGTATTTGCTGAAAAGAGCAAAGAAGTTATAAGCATCTTAAGCTCATGACCATTGTAATTACACTAGGGACTGGGACAGAAGACACCTGTTAAGGGTGAAGAAGCTACAAGATTTTACTGAATCATATTTTAAGTATCATCCCTTTTGCAGAAAGTAATGAATAATGTATGGAAAATGATCCATTTTATGGAAATGTTGTTCCATAATAAACATGATTTAACTATCAACCGAGACCATTTAAAAACACTTATTGTCTTGAAGAGGCAACAAATACAAAACAATACCTGTCTTCTACAAACTTGCAATTTAGGCTCATAAATACTCATATGTAAAAGATACAGAATAAAAGCAGAAATTAGGTAGTTGAGTACTTTAAGTATTAGGAATAAAAGAATAAATGAAAAGATGGAGAACAGCATGGAAGGAAGTTATAAGTTGGACAAGGTGAAGTCAGGGAACGTGTTAGATCTTTGATGGTTTACGAAGAGTTCTTGGAGGAGTTTAGATTTACTAATGGGAGAAAAATGATTTAGCAACCAGATGAGTGCATGGCATGGTTTCAAGGTTCAGTGTGGGAGAGAGTCAAAGGACGCCTTGAGTAGGTGCCTGGGCTAATAAAAGTAATAATGTCAGCTAAAATAGAAATACTCGTTCCCTTGAGTTGCAGGATCCCATATTTTCTCACACTGCACTCAGATATGCAAGGTTAGATGCAGCTTCCTTATTATTATTATTATTATTATTAATCTTCACCTGAGGATATTTTCCCATTCATTTTTGGAGAGAGTAGAGGGAGGGGGAAAGACACAGAAAGAAAAACATTGATGTGAGAGAGATACATCAATTGTTAGCGCGAGGGTGGGGTCGGGGTGGAGGATCGAACCTGCAACTGAAGTATGTGCCCTTGACCAGAAATGAACCCATGACCCTTCAGTCCATGGGCCAATGCTATCCACTGAGCCAAACCCGCTAGGGCCTTTTTTTTTTTTTTTAAATAATTTATCCCTCAAGCTCTAGTCCTATTGAATATTAGGAACTCTATGTTAGGTTGACTATTGAGTCAATAATTTAGTGCAATTCAATAAAGTCTGTCTGATTCAATAATATAGTCTCTTTAGATAACTCTTTTAAATAAATCCTAGTCTTTCTGGTTTCAGCTTTCTTTGCTTGCCCCTGATCTAG